AGGCATAAGGGCTGCACATATTGTTTGTTTTTCCATACATAAGATTATCAATACAAGTGGAAAAAGCGTAGTATAAATTCACTTGCAATTTTGATGTAAAGTGATGAGCAATTAGATAATTAAATTGGAAAAATTGTTCCTCATTCCGACAGAAATAAATATTTTTCTCTCTGCTTCTGAACCCATCCCCCAGAAAAAGTATTCCAGGAAAATTTTGCATATTAAAAGCGGAAAAAAATAATACAACAGAGACAGAAGTAAATGCTCTGGAAGTCATATTTTATTTTTCCTAGAAGAGTATCATTTGTGCAAAAAAGATTATTTTAAGCCATCCGAGTGTTCTTACTAGTATTTCAGAGAACATAGCAATCTAAATTATTTTAACATTTCAGTATTATACTCATGCACAATGAAATCTTTTTGGTCAGAGTTGATAGACAGTACGTTCTGAAAAACACACCTTTTCAAGGGCTGCTACTCAGAGTACGTTCCTTTTAAAATGAGGTTTTAATTTTTGACAGTGCCTCTCAAAATTGCACCATTGTTTCCCTTATGTTGCTTATATAAGTTTAGAAGCAATCTCAAAACTTAAATACATTTTGACTGATATTAGTTTGTCACCTGTTTAGTTTTTTTTAATTTATTACATTTTGTGTTCTATTTTGGGATTTGGTTACGTTGAAAAACTGATGTATCTTAGCACATTTAGCAGCACAGGAACACCTTTCAAGATATCAGCTCATATTTCTCATTATTTCTTATCATGACTGATTAGATTCATACCTTATACCTTACTCATACCATATCTTTGATGCTGGCTTGATGCTAAGAATGTATAATATCCACAATTCAGGGTGGCTTTCTGTAAGTGGTCAATGTTGAGTGGATTCTGAGGTCTCCATTTAATTGGATTCCATATTACCTCAATCAGATTGACAATCTGATTAAATTTTTGCAGAAACATTTCATGCTTGCATAAATCACTCCAAACCTGCCTTAAGAAGAAAAATAGATTTTTTTTTCTTTTGTTTTTCTTTTTTTTTTCTGGTACATTGATCTTTTGTAGAGGTGTCAAAAGACAATGTAATTTGCTTCTGGTATATATGTCTAATCCAGGGATTCCTTTCATCCAGAATACATCCAACAGTATGAGACAGCATTTTTTTTCTGTTGAAGAAATTATTGTGTACTTACTGAAATACAAGATGATCATTAAAAACCTGAGTCTCAGTTCAAAGCTTTCAAGCCTTAAAGTTTATATTCTCTATAAAAGTGAAAAGTCAATAGTACATAAAGTAGTATGCATTTAATTTACATAATGAAAAAGGAAACTAAATTACTACATAATATAGAAGGAAACTATGCATTGCAGTATGAAAATCATGTGGCTTTGTTTGGTGAAGCCTGACATTGTATTGTATTAAAATGCCTAATAATTCCATAACTTTGCGCTCTAGTATGCATTTAATTTTAAAAATAAATTTATTTGTTACATACAGTGTATATAACTATGTTTCTGTTTTGAGTACAGTCTTTTAATGTGTCTGGAGGTTTAGTGTTTTTTGGGGTTATTTTACAATTTTCTGCTTTTCTTTTTAGAGATAGCTAGGGAGGTCTTGCCAGTAGAAGATTCATGCTGTAGTTTTCATTGTGGAAAGAGAAATGCAAATAATATTTTCTTATCTGGCTGTCGTATACGACATCACATCACATCATTTTGATATCACATCAAAATGAAGTTATTAAAGAGGAAGTAATTGAGCTTAAGACAATAGTAAATTTTTTTGTTATTATCTTCATTCCTTAGCAACATTTTTTTCTCTTCTAGTTAATCATACTATATATTGTAGGTACCAGTAACTACAGCAGCTGGATATCAGATAGACCAGTGGGAAAATAATTCTTGTAACTGTTTGTCAGTGATGATGGTCACCCTCAGAGAATTGTGGTCAGTGGCTCAATGTCCAAGTGGAGGTCAGTTATGAGTGGTGTTCCTCAGGGATCGGTGCTGGCACTGATGCTATTTAACATTTTTGTCCATGATGTGGACAGTGGGATTGAGTGCACTTCAGCAAATTTGCATATGAAACCAAGCTGAGTGATGCAGTTGACACATAAGAGGGAAGGAATACTATCCAGAGGGATTTGGACAGGTTTGAGAGGTGGGCCCATGCCAACCTCATGAAGTTCAACAAGGCCAAATGCAAGGTCCTGCGCCTGAATCAGGGCAATCCCAAGTGCAGATACAGGTTGGGCACAGAATGGCTTGAGAGCATCCCAGAGGAGAAGGATTTGGGGGTTTCTGTTCATGAAGGCTCAACATGTATTTGCAGCTCAGAAGGCCAACTATATTCTGGGTTGAATAAAGAGAAGCATGACCATTAGGTCGAGGGAGATGATTCTGCCCCTCTGCTCCCATGAGACCGCACCTGGAGTAATGCGTCCAATTCTGGGACCCCCAGCACAAGAAGGACGTGGAGCTGTTGGAGCAGGTCCAGAGGAGAGCCATGAAGATGCAGAGGGATGGAGCACCTCCCCTGTGATGACAGGCTGAGAGAGGTGGGGTTCTTCAGCCTGGTGAAGAGAAGGCTCCAGGAGGACTTTATCAGCAGCCTTCCAAAACCTGAAGGGGGCCTACACAAAAGGTGGGGAGGGACTTTTTATAAGGACACATAGCAACAGAATGAGGGGAAAAGGCTCTAAACTGAAAGAGGGTAGATTTAGACTAGATATTAGAAAGAAATTCTTTACTGTGCGGGTGGTGAGACATTGGAACAGGTTGCCTAGTGAAGTTGTGGTTGCCCCTCCCTGGATGCATTCAAGGCCAGGCTGGATGAGGCTTTGAGCAACCTGGTCCAGAGGGAGGTGCCCCTGCCTATAGCATGGGGTTGGAACTAGATGATCTTAAAGGTCCCTGCCAACACAAGCCATTCTATGATTGTATGGTTACTTTAGTCTGATTCTGCTTTTACAAGCAAGATCTTGCTGTTGAAACATTATGTCCTTTAAATTTTAAATGGAATATAGGCAAATGGAGGTAATACAAAAGCTGGAACATTAGACACCCATTTGATTTGATGATTATTGTAGCGGAACATACTGGAGATTATAACATAGAAACAAATTTTAAAAGGAAAACCAAAGCAATCTAGCATTGTCTGTGGTGATTTTGAGACTATATTTCATAATTGTATTATTGGACTCAGCCTTGTACTTTTGAGATCAAGTTTTCTGCCATAAACTACTTCTTGCTTGTGAACTGTTTTATCTGAGTACTGAAATTCATTGTGTTCCTAGATTCGAACTTGCTTAGGCTGACAACTCGATTGCAGGAATTTGGACTGGAAGTATTCAAGTCAGCTAGAAGTCACTTTGTAACTTTGTCACTTTGTTATTTCTCAGTCTCAAGAGAGCCATTTTCAACACTTTGAAAGTCACAAATTTTATTTTCTTATAACTTAATAGTTTACTACAAGCAAGTGCTGAATGAACATTAATATGAAGTGAGTAAGAGAAGAGTATCTCAGCCAGTAACTTAGGAGGTTTTTGCATGGGCTGTAACCTAACAGTGCACACATATGCTGCTTTGGAGTGCATGAAAGAGAAGTAGAGCTAGTATAGAAATACAGCAGATAAAAATTCAGACTCAGTATGAATCTAACCAAAGCGTAACAAATGATGCTGCTAAAAAAAGGGCAACAGAAATTGAGATGTTGAAGGATCCAGGGAGGCATAAAAACAAGCTTAACATTTGTAAAACTATGGAGTGAAAAGAGCAGATTGCTCTTTGAATCTTTTATGAACAGAATAATGAAGCTAACAGGTTCTAGCAAGGGATATGTTGGTGGCATAAATCTCCTGCATATTTTTCTGTCAGATACTTGTTGATTTGACTGTGCTCACTGTGTAAGTACAAAGTTTCTCCTTGAAAGTATTTTCATTTATGCACATTGAACTGTAGTTCTCACTCCCAAATCAATTCTCTTGAAAAACTTGGTTTGTTCCCAACTAAAGGCTGTGGAATTATTGCCAAAATTAGGTGAGTAATGAGAAAATATAGCCTTGTGCAAATGGAGAGAACAACGTTTATATCATACTTGAGTCTCACTTGAATCAAGAAAACAAGATTTCCATCTCATTCCTTTGTAATAAATTCAGATCGTTCTAGCATAAGAATAAGAAATTGAAATATTTATTGTCTTGAATGCTGTTTGTTTATGGGGAAGGGAGATGTTAGGAACAAAAATTATTGCATAGTGATTACATCAAGCTTATATATAAAAGCTGGAAATAGCCTGATTGTGGAATCAAATGCTAAATATAGTAACATATGGCATAGCAGGCAAAATAATTGCTTTTTCTCAAAATTATTGAGGCTGTATCACCAGATCAGATAAAGTTTCAGCCTATCTAGATAGCATTTTAGCAGCAGATGGTTTTATATCTCCTATATATTTTTTTGCTTGCATGTATGCAATATTTGTATAATAACTATAATAATGAACGGGGCCTGAATCTATTGATTCAATGTAACTGAAAATTTCTATATATATTATCATGTGAAACTGCCTTGATGTTTTCCAAGCTAATATGTTACTGGCTCATCACCCTGTGAGGATGATACAAACATAGGATTCAGTTGTCTGTGATGTAATGTTTAACTGCACTCAGTATTGCTATTATCTAGTGCCCTGTTCTCCTGGACAGCCGGTGAAGTGAACACTTTCTTGTATGAATGATGGCCAAGTGATATGACATTTTTATCCCATTCTTAGTAAAACTGGATAGTATGGCCCTGTTTTGTTTCAGGTTATCTTTTATGATTTTTCTGCAGAGGATGTCCAAAACTGGACATTCTTCAGAATGCTGTGCCTGCTATTCTTTCTTGAAGTTTTAAAATGGAAAGAAAAGTTATTTTCTCTATAAAAGTGTTTAAAAATTTGTTGATATGGTGTTCAGTCAGTTTTTTTTTTGTTATTTGTTCTGTTTTTCCTTTGCAGAATTACTTACTGCCATCTACCTTTCCAGAGTAAATGGCTTTATGTTGGAACAGAGCGGGGAAATACACACATTGTAAATATCGAGTCCTTCATTCTTTCTGGATATGTTATCATGTGGAACAAAGCAATAGAACTGTAAGTGCAGATTTTTTTGTATTTGTGACTTTCATTGCTGTCTTCGAATGCTTTTTTTTTTTTTTTTTTTTTGTAAGGGAAAATGCTATTTGGGAGCCTGTTTAACTGTCAAGTACCATGAAATACAGATAATCATTACTATCATAAATTCAGACTTTGATATCTTCATAATTATGTATATCAACATATAGGGGCTGCTCCGAAGTAATGCTTGCTATCCTTTATGTCATGTTGGCCTTTGAAGTCAGAGGCACAAGGTGATGGTATGGAGATAGAGACTGAACCTTCTCACCAATATTCCACTACATGTTGTTGCCATGGGAAAGGTGGCAGCAGAGGGGCAGTCTGACAAAATGCCGTCTGACATGAGAGTGCGGGGGGAACAAAGTTGTGTCACTGAATTGCTCCATGCAGTAGAATGGCACACGCTGACATTCACCAATACTGACTGAATGATTATGGAGACCAAACAGTGAATGTGAGCACATTGAGGCAATGGGTGGTGCATTTCAGCAGTGGTGACAACCATAATGTGTCACTTCTGCTGGTGTAGATTTTTATCAGCACAGCGTGCAGGCTGTTGTTCACTGATGGTGAAAATGCACAGCTAATGGTGGTGACTGTTGAAAGTTGGCAATTGGTAAGTAAGAATTTATACTATGAAATAGTATTCTTATGCTCCTTTTTAGTTGTTATCATTTGCATGAAAATAAGTAGGAGACATTACTTTCAGAGCAACCTATGTATACTGATATTCATATAATTGTCTGCCATCACTGTGTTTCCAAGCATCATCCAAGGAGAATAGTGGAATATTATTGGCCCTAAGACTTCATGAAGAACTTTGTGAAAAACTTTTCTCAATTGCACAGCAAAATTATTTAGATGAGAAAGAGCTGAAGTTCTCTGGACCAAACCTCCTGCTTAAAACAGGGTTAATTTCAAAGATAAATCTTGCTCATCTCAGGACCTGATGATCTTTTTGCAGAGTTGTTGTTGAACTGTTGGGAGAGGTAATGAACTAATGTTGGTGTCTGATAAATGACAATTCTCTGACAGGCTAGCTCAGGTTACCTGTGCCATGTGTACGAAATGGAGGGAGACGTAGAAATCTGACTGGGATAAATCTATGTTTCATACAAGTAAAAACCTTGGCAGAAATGGAAAAGTATTTCTCAGTTGTTTCTTCTGTGAAGTTCCGTAAAGAAAAACTGCTGTTGACAAACTCATGGTACTTCATGCACTTTCTGAGACACTTCTTATAGAGAGACAGCTGTAACCTTAGGTAGTGAACTGAAGTTAACCAAGCTCAGTGAACAAGGGACATTATCTGAAAATAATACATTTCTTCAGTGAAAAATGTTAGAGAAATAAGGGCTGTGTACCTATATATAAATAAATAGGAAAACACAATATAGGTATGATATCAGGAACAGCTTCAGCATTTTCATGAATAAAGTCATACAACTTGTACAAGGTAACAGTGCTCATAACATTGTTTTTAATTCAGAGATACATTATATCATTTTAGAGTGTGGGGTTATTTGATGAAGTTAGTATTGTCCATAAAACTTGGAAACAGTTTACCTTCTGTGCAGGTACATCTGTGTCAAAATTATTGGCCCAGTAAATTGATTGCTCTGATGCTGTATTCAAGTTCTCTCTTTAAGTGGAGGCTTAAATAGAATTTTGAGTGTGTCAGATTTGTGTCTGGTGTGCACAAACAAATCTGAAGGAGAGATTTTTCTCTCTTCGTGTAACTCTTACCTATAGTTTCTAAAATTGCAGGCAAAAGCTACCAACGTAACTTTGCTTCTTTTCAAAATCTCTCCTCATTTTTTTCACTGTCTCATAACTGCCTTTGATGGAATCTCTGTGAATTTTCAGATCACAAATTTACCTCAGTTATCATTAGAGTTTCAAGCTTTTGCAGTGATAAACTATAAGAGATTGAACTGATTAATTAAAAAAAAATCTGAAATGCTTAAACTTTGGTATGTTGAACTATATATTATTACATCTTAGTCAAAAAAAAAACCAGATTACAGATAATTTTGTGAGTTGAAAAAAAAAAACAAAAACCAACCCAAAGAAACAACAGAACACAAAACAGATGAACAAAAAGAACCAGCTAAAATTCCAGTTCTGTTAGTGTTTCAGAATACTGAGGAGGGCCTATTTTGCTATCACTATAGCCAAGATAATCTGAATACTCGTGTTGTCATTTCTCCCATTTGGAAAACACCTACAGACTATATTCTAGATTTTCATCATGGACTGAATTTGTCCCTGCAATGCCATGATGATGTTGCTTGGTAAATCATACCATAAATGGTATTGTATATGTGGGGAATATAGGGAAAATAGGGAATGTAGAAAACCTATTCTAGTAATTCGTGTTAGTCTGTTCCTATATCTAGCAAGGTTTCAGCCGCACAAACTGTTTTCTGACACTTACTGAGATGATTTTATTTCCAGAGAACACAACAACTTAACCTCTGAACAAAAGAAAAAAATAAACAATGCCTGCCAGTGAGGCCTATCAAATAATTGCAAGAATTTCTTTTCTGACAGTGATTCTGTTGCAGAGAAAGAGTCAGCTGAAGAGGCTTAGTAGGTTGAAGACCTGAAGAGGGAGGACCTTCAGCTGTGTACTTTCTAGACTGTTCATAGAATATAGTAGATTTGGTCACCTTGTCCTGCATTGCTACTTTGACTTATAAAGTTAGCTTTAGGTCTGAATTTTTTTTTCTTTCAAAGTTTGTTACTATTTGAGATTTTTCTTGTATGTGTGTCTACTTCTGTGCCAGAAATTACTGAAAGAACTGTAGAGTTTTGAAGAAGTCTTTTTTCTCATTAGGGTCCATTTAGAAGTACATAGTAGAGAAATATGTCAAACAGATGGTCGAAATATTATAAGTACTATCATTTTATAGGAGAGATTATACATCCAGCTTTAAACAATATATATTCTTAGTGAGAAACTAAGGCCTTAGTAGACGAATACTGCAAAGAAAATTAATTCTTTCTGCTTGAGATGATTTTCAGTACTGAGAAATAACTGAATCTGTTCTAGAAGTTGAGAGAAAAAGTGGCCCTGATCTTGTCAAGAGCTAAGAAAGAAAGTTAGAATATGGGGAATTGTGGTAACATTTTTGCTAGCATTTGTTCTTGGCCATTACTGTCTCATGCATTGTCACTATCCCTGACCACAAGGAAGCATCTTTTTGCCTAACAGTGAAGAATAACTCAAAACTTTTTCATTTGTCATTTCCGTGGCATGTAGCAGAGCTAGTACTTCACCAGAGGTGTTTGGTGCTTGTGATACTGCTTGGTCTTCTACTCTGTAGTAAGCAAACTGCCACTCTCCTTTCCTTCAGAATATTTGGAAATAGGTCTGTAAGAGAGGAGTAGTCAATAAGCCCAGCTTGACACTCCATTTACTCCAACCATATTGACATTTATTTTCTCAGCCTGTTTTGGATTGTCACCTGGTGTTTTGTGGAAAAACAGAACTTCCTAAGAGCCCATTGGTTAACCTTCAAAAATGATAAATCTACATTGTAACCTCTTGCCAAGCATGCAGGTTTCAGTGCTTGAACACACCATTAACTAATGAATGAACAAATTAAAGTTGTCAGAATTTACGAGATTTCGCTCATCAAAGAATTGAGAAAACTGGAACTGAGTTATGGTAGAGCCATAGCTACTTGATGTTTTCTTCCTTGGCTCTTTCCCACTGGGTGTGTTGGGAGGGACACAACTGATCAGGAGGGGCAAGAACATACTGGGCAGCAAGCTGGCAGGGCTTATCACTGGAGTTTTAAACTAGATTTGATGTGAGAAGGGGATGTACCGCTTAGTGACAAAGAAAAACCAGAGAACACTGTCACTTTAGGAAGAAGCAGGGGAAAACGTCAGATTTGTCCCAGAGAGATTTGGAGGGCTGCTCCAAGAATGTAACATGGCCAGTAGCGCAGCTGAAGTGCCTCTACATCAATGCATGCAGCATGGGAAATAAGCAGGAGTTGGAAACCATTATGCAATTAGAAAACTATGACCTAGTTGCTATCACACGAACATGATGAGTCAAATCACACTGTGAAGAGCTGTCCATGAGAAACAGCCATGACTGGGTTGAGAAACACTAAGTTAAAATTAGTGACCAGACCAAAAAAGGACTTGGTTGAGATATACTGCAGGCCTCCTGATCAAGGGGAGGCTGTTGAGGAGGCCTTCTTGCTTTAGTTGCACAATGTGTTGTGCTCACAGGCTCTTGTCCTGATTTCAGCCAGTAAGATACCTGCTGGGAAAACACCTTAGTGGGCTGCCAACAAGGGACTTCTAGAGTCTTTTGTAGATAAATTCCTGGTCCAGGTGTTGGACATACCAACCAGACATGAAGTGTTACTAGACCTGATGCTCACCAGAGCAGTGTAGATCATTAAGGAGGTTAAGATTGGAAGCAGTCTGGGCTGTAGCAACCATTCCATGGTTGAGTTTGTGATCTTGAAGAACATGGGCATGGCAAAGAGCAGAGGCAGAACTCCAAACTTCAGAAGAGCAAGCTTCAGACTGTTTAAGGAATTATTGGATGAGATCCCCTGGGAAACTGTCTTTAGAGACAGAGGATTAGAACACAACTGACATGTCTTTAAGGAGACCTTTCCAATAGTGCAAGAGCATAAGAAATCAAACAGAGGAGGTAGGAAACTATCATGGCTGTGCAAGGACTTACTGGTCAAACGGAGGGATAAGAAGGAAATGTATAGACAGTGGAAGCATGGATGGGTGGCCTGGGAAGAATACAGGGATGCTATCTGGGCGTACAGAGATGGGATCAAGAAAGCCAAGGTGCAGATGGAACTGAACCCAATGAGGGATGTGAAAAATAACAACTAAAGGTTTTCTACAGGTACATTGATCAGAAGAGACAGGCCAAAGTGAATGCACCCACAGAGAAGGGAGAACTGGTTTCAACAGACATGTCGAAGTCTGAG